AAGACTCTTAGGGAAATAGCACAGGGTTGGTTGGTTGGTTGGTTGGTTGGTTGGTTGGTGTTTGTTTGTTTGTTTGTTTGTTTGATATGTTTTTACATCCCACCTTTCCTCCAAGGAGGTCAAGGTGATGTATGTGGCTCTCCTCTCCATATTACCATCACAACAACCTTGTGAGGTAGGCTAGCATTAGAGATGGTGACAGGCCCAAGTTCGCCCAGTGAGCTTCATGGCTGAGTAGGGATCTTAACCCTGGTTTCCCAGGTCATAGTCCAACACTTTAAACATTCTTTAAAATATGTACGGTACTTTAAAACATTCTGTAGGTCACTTTAAGACTTTTTTTGTAAAAAGTGATGAACTATACTATATAAGTAAATAATGTGGATGTGGTCACCAGCACAGTCCCTGACTGGTTGGCTGTGGAACTATTTCCAGGAATACTGTGGGTGTGTCTGTCGTTGTTATGCATATATATATATATATATATATATATATATGCTTGTGTGTTTCCCCCTCCCAGGCTAAACATGCCTAGGATGTGGCAACTGTTCTGGCAGTGTAGTTGCAGCATATCTTCAGTTGCTTTACTCATAAATGTGTTACTTAAGTAATTTTATGCATAGCCTGATGAGATAAGTCTCATTCAATTCTGTCTTTGCTTAGCCTTCACATACAAAAAAAATAAAAATCACTTTTTTCCTTGGCGGCAACTTGAAATATTCCCAAGCTGCATAACACAGGCTCATTGACCCATGAGAAAGTAATCACTGAAGACAGATTTCTACAAAATTGCTTTCGAACATTACATTAATTCTGGATCAGCAAGTTTATTTCTTAGCAATTTCCCAATGGTGACATTTATACATTCCTGTCTTTACATTTTATTATACGCCTTTAGATAATCCAGAGCCTCGGTTCTTTTCTTTTTTCCCTCCTGTTTATGTTGCTTGTCAAGATGCTGGCTTAGACAAACAATACTGATAAGAGGGGTTGGAATGAACAAGGAAACACATGCTCTAACAAGGTCAATTTGCTACAAAAGATAACTGTATTTTGGCATCCAGTTATGGGGATTTTCCAGTGATATTGGCCTAGCCAAACATTAAATCCTGTGGCTCTGGACTTAAAAGTATTAGCATATATTTTGGTGATGAGGTTGAACCAGGGTATGTGAGTTAAACCCATGGCATTATTTCAGTGCTTGAAATAGACGGGGGTTGTGGAGAGAGGGAAAAGGGAAGTTTCAAATTAGGGAAGAGTCAGGGCCCCTCCAGAAGTCCTTTTTTTGAAGAGCCAGTGTGGTGTAGTGGTTAAGAGCAATAGACTCGTAATCTGGTGAACCGGGTTCGCGCCTCCGCTCCTCCACATGCAGCTGCTGGGTGACCTTGGGCTAGTCACACTTCTCTGAAGTCTCTCAGCCCCACTCACCTCACAGAGTGTTTGTTGTGGGGGAGGAAGGGAAAGGAGAATGTTAGCCACTTTGAGACTCCTTCAGGTAGTGATAAAGTGGGATATCAAATCCCAACTCTTCTTCTTCTTCTTCTTTTTAATTGTGCCTTCAGGATGATTCGTGCTCATGAGGAAATTGGGGTGGTTATACATATTCTTTATACTGACACTGTTTATACAATGTTTATACATTCACTGAGAGAGAATGCCTTGAGAGAGATGGAGGTGCTATTTAAAGTGGCGTCATTGCCTGTGGTTCATGCATACTGTTGTATGTCCCACTGTCTTCTTTGAGTGAATGTGTACAACACAGAAGAATTTGCTCCTGCTGTACTATTCTCAGCTTTCTGAAAAGAGTGGGATAACAGCAAATGGGAAGGGGAATTTATGTGTCTCGGGAGAAAAGCCACTTACAGTGCCAGTAGCAATCATGCACTTAATGTAATTTGTGGTTTGGCCTACGTGAAGCAGAATATCAAGTGTACTGAGCATTATTAGACTTTTGAGCTAAGGGTCTCTCCCCACTTTCTAATATAGCATTATAAACATGTGTATACTCTTCCCAGAGCTGTTGGAATGATGTAGCTGTTCCAAGAGCTATAAATCTCAGTCAGCTCATAAATCAATAGTGTACCACATTTGTTCTTAAGGTTCCTAAGCACATACCTTAGGATTAGTATGTGTTGACACGCTTACATACATACCATTGTATAATGTCTACATTTCATTATGCAGACATGGATTGTCAGGTAGGAATTCAATTTTGTTCAATATAAGGAGTCAATATAACATATTTCACTGCTATCTGTCTCAAGGTGTTATCCATTTTTGCATAGTAATAAAGGACAACCTCTCTGTTGATGACTAGATCACTGCAGGTGGGCAGTAAGTGATCTTAGCTCCTCATGATAAACATTTTGTGCAATGGTGATGGGCTGCTGAAGTGATCACTACCTGATCCTTTTACTTGAGACTTGAAGAGCAAAGTCATGTGCTCTGCTTCTGAGCCTCCATAATTAAGCTTATACGTAATTGGTGCAAAAACATTTTAGCTGTTGTCATCATTTTAGATCAAAGTAGTTTCAGACAGATGTAGATAAATTCTTATATTCTATGTGCTGAAAACTTTGTAGGTCTGATGTAAATATGTTTATGGAGACCACTGAAGGTTAGAAGGTCTTTGGTTGAAATCTCTGGCATATTTACTTTTTCTTTCTCTGTTTTTGCCCAGTTCTCTTGTGGCATCTGTATCTAGGGAAACTGTTTCTATGAATCCTTTGGATATGTCTGGCAATAAACATAAATAAATCCAGATTGGAGGGGAGTGGGTATGGGTTTCCTTCAACTGGAATGGATAGTGCTGAGTCTCCATTACCCATGGGACAAACGCTGAACGGATCGCCTTGATTAATGTCTGTAATCTGTTCCAACTTGCTGATAACATAAGGTAATGCAGAGGGCAAATACTTGGAATAGTGCAAAAATTCCTAATTTAACTGAGGGAGCAGAAAACAACATGAACCTGCCCACTCTGTCAGACAGTGAATATAAAATTCTCAAAATGCTGCCTGGGGGTTTGAACACTTCGAAAGGTGCAGAATTGACCAGTCTCTTGCAGAAGGATTCAGATATGTTACTAAAATATGGTCAGCTACTGACTTGTCAGAGGCAATAAAGCCTATGGAAGACAAATTGGCTGCACTTTTTTCTCAAATGTCTGATTTGACTAAGGCTGGATCTCTACACATCAAAGAAGCATTTCAGTTTAAAGAGTTGTAAATTTAAACAGGGAAAGCAGGCAGAGAAAAACGGGTCTCCACATCACCATCTGATGGCACAGTGCTATATCACATATACAATGCATATAAATAACATTTTCTTTACCAGTCTAGCTGAGTCCTAAGGCAGCTAAGAAGGCCTTGAAGTTGGGTCTGGATAATCCAAACAAAGTTAAATGCCTAAAACTGACAGTTTATTATTTGGAGTTTCAGCTGACAGATCAAGAGGATCATAACTGAAGATAACATTTACACTAGAGAGGGATCTTTGAAAAGGAAGTGTGGGCTGATATGCCTTCCTTTATGGCATACTGGGTTAATAGTTTAAATCTGGGACACACTCTTTCAGCAGAGGATTTTGTTTGTGCTCACAGAGCCTTGGGACCTAGACAACAATCTGTTGAGTCTCCAACAGCACAATTTGAAAGATATTTTGTTACAGAGAAGATCTAGAGAGCCTAGCAAAATCTGAGGGAGTAAAATAAGGAGACGCAATGGTGGAAATCTTTCAATCTGCTTAAATGCAGAAGAGCATTTTGCCTGTACACAGTGATACTCAACAAAGCAGAAATTCAATAGTGGTGAGCCTATCCTTTTAAGCTGCTGGCTGTTCATAAACAGAATACACTGGTTGCTTCGAATGATTAGGATATTTAAGGAACTGTAAATGGAAAAACTGTACTCCACACCTTGTTTCTTGTTAATATGTGTATATTGAAAATCAATAAAAAAATACTTTAAAAAAATGAAACTTAATGCTGCTCTGGAAGGAAACTAAGTGGCAGTGCAGGACAAAGTAATGATATTCTGTCTGCAGCTCATTTGAAAAAGAACAAATGCATTCATTTGTGGTGTGAAACAGTTACTCAGCCTTGTGGCACAAGGAAGAAAATTGATGGAGGAAAATGACTGTGGAATCCAAAGGAACATCCAAGGGAAATTACAGGAGCTCTAACTCTGGCAAAGGAACCTCCAAGGAAGCCCTGAAGATGCTGGGATGTGTGTGTATGCCATTATTTCATGTGTGTTCTAAAGTTCCCTTTATGTTTTACTTTAATGTGGCTTTGCTTCTCCATTGCACTGTTTGCTTTCTAAAGCCTATAGAAAAAGGTCCTTTTGGAAAAATCGACACTTCCTTTCATAAAAAGCTTCTTGTCAAAAAATTATGCACAGAAGCCCAGAGGCAAAAAGTAAGGTGCCTGAAATAACAGTAGTAAAATAGAGTCCTTCACATAACCTGAGAGAAGAGGTGGCCAGCTGGCAAATGCCACATTTGACTTCCTCAGTAAGAAATAGATCAAGGCAAGATGTATATAATTAGCTTTTATCAAACTGGAATGACAGAAGCTCTGGAGATACTGGGCCTTAATGTGAGTGGGGAAAACATAATCTATTTTCTCTCTCCAGGCTCGTGCATGAATAACGTTTTAGTTTAACACCTGGGTTATTTGCTGTCTGTCTTCATGTTCCTCAGGAGGTAGGCTGCCTGTTCTCCAGCAAATTCTTGATCACCTCTAGTTAATTACTAGTAGTATCTCAAGAGATTGGTTTACCTCAGTTCAACTGTTATTCAATTAGTAGAGCAATCTATGGATAAAATGGGATGTGCTTTGACACTCTACACCAGAGATTGTGAGTCTGTGGTCCTCCAGATGTTACTGGACTGCAACTGCTATCAGGTCTAGCCAGCATGGCCAATAGAATCATAGAATTGTAGAGGTAGAAGGGACCAGGAGGGTCATCTAGTTTAACCCCCTGCAATGCAGGGATCTTTTGCCCAATGTGGGGCTCAAACCGTCAACCCCTGGATTAGGAGTCTAATGCTCTACCAACTGAGCTATTGGAAGGAAAGGAGAGGGCTGATGGGAGTTCTAGTCCAGCAATATCTGGAGGGCCACAAGTGCCCCACTCCTGTTCTGCTAGCATAACTAGGTGACATTTTTCATGACATGGAAATAACATGCTCACCTGCTAATTAGCTGCAGATCAAGAAACTGGGTGAAAAGCAGACCTTGCATGCTCATACCTGGGTTTTGAAACGTTCCAGTCATTTTCCTATGTTACAGAAAACTGCAGTTTTTTCCTTGTGTTATAACGTTTTGACCAATGAATGGAAAAGACAAATTATTTGTGATGATAAACTAAGACAGTGTGCATTTACTCCAAAGATTACTTTAATGCATTTATTTTAGAAAATCAAGGGCCTACAACCTTACTGGTTTTTGGTATCTCATGAACATTTCTCTGTGCATATCAGTCAGCCGTATGCATTTAACAGCTGCATGACAGCCAAAAGAAATTCTGATAAATGTCATTATATTGAGAAATTGTTGCCCTGTGTTTGATTATTGTAACAGGAGGTCAAGTGTGAAGCATATTCATCAAGGGAGCTGAGAAAATGAAAACAGCTTCTGATTGACTTTGGAAGGCTTAAATACAACTAGATTGAGTATGATTGTAATCTGTGAAAAAATTAGATGACAGGGTGAATCCATTTGCATTTATATACATAGTTATGCAACTGATCATATTACCAAAGTTGCATAAACTACATTACAGATCAAGAATGTGCATTGAGTTTGGTGCCCCATTATATCTGAACATACACGTCTATTTCACTGTAGACATATCCAGCTGTCATGGATGCAACCTGAGATTGGAGGGGGGAAATGGTACCAGTTTTCAAAAACTTCTTCTATTCAAGTATTCTCATACACATTCACACATTCTCCACAAAGATATACTTAACCAACTATAGTGGCTCTGCTTAACTTGATTCTAAAAGCACAGAAAATGGAGTAAGACAAGGTAGAAGCTACACAGTGTTCCTTGGGGTGCTTCAGCAAAGGTCTTCACCCAAAGATGGCTTTGACTCCAAAGTTCTTATACTTGCTGCTCAGTCTTCTAGACCACTGGTCTTCAACTGGCAGGCCTGATGCAAGGTAGGTCGCAACAGGAGCAATGCCACCATGCAGATGCATGGTAAGAGATTAAGAAATGGGCCCCCCAATGATGCTTGGGTTAAAAGTGGGCCCTGGGTCTCAAAAGGTTCAAGATACCTAACCAAGACTTATGTGTTAGTTGTAGATGCTCCTTTGGATTGAAAGGACCATGTTGTAAGTACACCTTCCCATGAACGTAAGGACTTTGCACCCCATCATGGTGTCACTAGGTGTCGAGATTACAAGGGCTTTTGCATCATCTTCCAGACCCCCAGCAAGGAACCTCTTGGCAAATGGACACAACTGTCCTGAAACGTAACATTCAAATTCCAAAGAACGTTGCTTCACCATTATATTTTTAAAGCCTTGTTTATTTAAGATAGATATCAGCAATCATTCCACTTTGGTAAACTTTGTGGAGAGCTGGCATTCATTCCAAAGATCTGTTAATTTATACAGTTTTGAACTGATCATATTACAAAATTGTTGGCATCTTAGGAGGCAATAGAGTGCACCTCCAGAGGTGAAGTCAAACCTCTGGAGAAGCACAGTGCCTGGTCTGGCTGCAAAGACCAGAAACTAGAAACTGCTGCCTCCCCTGTTCTTTTTGCTGCACCAAAGTGACTCCAGGGCGCAAGCCTAAGCAGTGCGCATGGAGGTCTTAGGCTGTCCAGATGTCAAGACCAAAGGTAATAGTCCATGTAAATATATTCACAAAAACATCAAACTTATTTGGCACATATCACCACATGGGAGCTGTGATTGACCATAGCGGCTCAAGTAGGTTCCCACACACCATGAAATATGTATCAGGTGTCATAGTGTACTGCAGTCTACATTTGAAGCATTTTCCTAAATCTGCTATGTGTGAAACAGCCTGAGGCATATTCTCTAATATTTCACCCTACACACACTTACCTAGGAACAAGTCCCACTGAATTAAATGGAGCTCCTTTCTGAGTAGACCCGTATTTTTTCATTCCCCCACCTACACACAGTATTACTTCCCCCTATGCTCAATTCACAGTGAATTATGAATATAGACAGTCAGCATTCACTATTCATTAAAAGGCCTTAGCTCAAGGTAAGAGAGGAGTGCTATTACTTTGGGATTGTGAAGTCATGAACTTTAACAGAAAGTAATATTAAACCCTATTGCTATTCAGAAGCTGTGAGGCTGTGATTCCCCATTTCCATTCCAGATTTTGCCTCAGGAATGAAGTCGAGAACATTAACTCTAACTCTAAGAAGTCACACCACCTGAATTTTTCATCCCTAAGCATTAAGATACTTCTAGCTTTGCCAGGGCTATATCATAGATGGTTGTGAAGAGAAAAGACTGAATTGGGACAGTGTGTATGTGTGCTGGAATTCCATATGCTGTGGTCTTCCTCTATCTTTTCAATATATCATCTATAGGGTGAAAGGGTTCCACATAAAGGAATTCAATAAAATATGGCTACAGGCCCACATCTGCATCATACTTTTTGCATAATTCTAACTCCTATTAGCTTACAGCATTGCAGAAACACTGACCACAAGCCATATACTGAATTGAAGAAGCCCTACAGAAACTCATTTATCTCATGTAATAGAAACCACCCCCTTCATGGATCACTGCCTTGCCGTGGTGAAGGGGATTGAACAACTCAGAGAAGCTATGAGCTATGCCGTGCAGGGCCACCCAAGATGGACAGATCATAGTGGAGAGTTTTGACCAAACGTGATCCACCTGGAGCAGGAACCGGCAAGCCACTCCAGCATCCCTGCCAAGAAAACTCCATGGACAAAGACAGAATTGATGCTTTTGAATTATGGTGCTGGAGGAGACTCTTGAGAGTCCCAGGGACTGCAAGAAGATCAAACCTATCCATTCTTAAGGAAATCAGCCCTGAGTGCTCACTGGAAGGACAGATCCTGAAGCTGAGGCTCCAATACTTTGGCCACCTCATGAGAAGAGAAGACTCCCTGGAAAAGACCTTGATGTTGGGAAAGATGGAGGGCACAAGGAGAAGGGGACGACAGAGGATGAGATGGTTGGATAGTGTTCTCGAAGCGACAAACATGAGTCTGACCAAACTGCGGGAGGCAGTGGAAGACAGGTGTACCTGGCGTGCTCTGGTCCATGGGGTCACGAAGAGTCGGACACGACTAAACGACTAAACAGCAATAGAAACCACAGACACATTTAGAAGTAAAAACTCAGTCCATGTTTGATGACAAGAATCTCCCTCGAACTGGTTACCTTGAGGCTTTCTAAAGATATACTATACTGTCAAGGAGTGATATCCAATTTAGCTTTCCTCAGAGGACACCTATTGGAATTAATGGACTAAGTTATGTTCATTAATTTCAATGGGCCTGCTTGGAGGATAACTAAGTTGAATACTATGCTACATGTATTTACTGCAATTACAGTGGTACCTTGGGTTAAGAACTTAATTCATTCGGGAGGTCCGTTCTTAACCTGAAACTGTTCTTAACCTGAGGTACCACTTGAGCTAATGGGGCCTCCTGCTGCTGCCATGCTGCCATCATGCGATTTCTGTTCTCATCCTGAAGCAAAGTTCTTAACCTGAGGTACTGTTTCTGAGTTAGTGGAGTCTGTAACCCGAGGTACCACTGTATTCCCTTGATACCCATTTAACTACCCATTAACCACAATCTGTGTCAATATAGAGGGGGAAAGGTCAAGTCTTTCAAAGTATGCACACAGGTGAAATGGAGGATCTCCCTCATGCTGATGAACTATCTGATGAAGGTCACCAGTAACCCAGCAATGGAGCCAGTGTTTCCCCTGCCCCAAGTATAATTGCAGTGCATGAGATATTTGGGGGATATCATTGGCTCTCTCTCACTGCTGTGTGCCGCAGCAACACCACTGCCCATCAAATATCACACACACAATTTGGCTGGGGGGGGGAGTGATGTGCGTATAGTCTGAGACGCTGCATACTATAAAACAGGAATATTATTGATACTCAATGGTCAAAATTCAGGAAGCAAGCTCTATTTCATAATATAAATCAGTGCAAAAATTCTTGGTTTGGGGAAGTAGATTTATAGCAACACCTCTCAACTTGCAGGAGACAAACTGGCTTTACAGAGAGCTCTTTCTTTGGGATACGCCATGCAAATCCCAAAGGCTACTTCTGTTAATATTATAAAGTGAATGTGTCACATTTTACAGATGGATTGTGGGTGGAGGATGTTAACAAAATGCTGAACCGCACCGATTTTGAAAATGAATGGGAGTTCTAGTGAGAGATGCAAAATGACTGGAGGCCCTGCTCGTATTTCATCAATGCTTCATTCAGCTTAATCCGAACAAGGCATGGTAACAGCTACCCAACCTCGTTCTAATTCAGGATCATCACTGGTTTGCGTGAAAGAACAACACTTTGTTATTCCTTCGAGAAACACTGAGTAACAAGTGACTCAACATATTGGGCATCAAAGCTGTTTTGTCAGGAGATAAGTGGGTGTTCTGAGAGAGTCAGAAAACGGGGGCTGATGGAAACTCAAGTTGTTATGAAACGAGTCGTTTCCCCCACATCTGTGATTCCTACACAGTGCATGACATCATTCCCTATCCCATCTACATGTCAGAAACTATTTTAGAAAGGAAGCCCAATAATTAAAGGAGGATCCCCCAGTGATAACACCTTGCAGGCATGACTAGGAGCGCTGATCAGTACTTAAAAGGCTCAGAAGCAGAGCATAGGCCCATAACACAGTCTTGTCGAAAATTTGTCTATGCTAATTTATCTGTATTGATGGACATTTTGGCATCTTAATGAATTAATATGGTGGGTGAGTGGAATATCATTGGCACTGTGCTCTGCAGAATAAAAAAGACTTTTTAAAAGGATGAAGGGCAGGAGTTCTGGGGCTTAGGGTAAAA